TCTACTAAGTCCATATGTTCACACATTTGTTTAAGTTCTGTTATTTCTTTCCCAATTTTTTGTCTAGTTGATCTATCTCTTTGTGACAATGATGTGTTAAAGTCCTCTGTTATGATAGTGTTGCTACTTATTTCATTTTTCATGTTTGCTAGAATTTGTCTTATATAGGCAGGTGCTCCTATATTTGGTGCATAGATGTTTATGATTGTTATGTCTTCCTCTTGAAGTTTCCCCCTCACAAGTATATAGTGACCTTCCTTATCTCTTTTGATTATTGTTGGTTTGAAATTCATGTCTGCACACAGAATAGCTACACCCAGTTTTTCTGGGCTCCTATCGCATGGAGTATTGTTTTCCATCCTTTAATTTTCAGTCTTTGAATTTCCTTTTGAGTTAAACGTATTTCTTGTATACAGCATATAGTTGGATTTTGTTTCCTGATCCAGTCTGCTAGTCTGCTTCTTTTGGTAGGTGCACTGAGACCATTCACATTGACAGTTATAATGGATATGTACTGGCTTCTCCTTGTCATGCTATTTTCCTGCTGTTGGATCCTCTTTTCCCCCTCTCTTTAATTGCTTGCTCTGCTTATTGGTTCCTTTCTGTCATTGTTCCTGAAGTTGCGGTCTGTTTTATCTCTTTCTAGAACATCTTTTAGTATTCTTTGCAGGATTGGTTTGGAACTCATGAATTTCTTCAGTTGTTCTTCATCATGAAAATATTTTATTTCTCCATTAAATTTGCAGGATAGTTTTGCTGGGTATATCAGTTTGGGTTGGAAGTTATTTTCTTTCAGTATCTGAAGTAGTTCACTCCAAGCTCTTCTTGCCTTAATGGTTTGTGTTGAGAAGCCTGCTGTGATTCTCATAGGTTTTACTTTATAGGTGATCTGTTTCTTTTCTCTAACAGCTTTTAATATTCTGACCTTTTGTTGAGTTTCTGGGATCTTGATCACTATATGTCTGAGTGTAGATTTATTTTGGTTATGATTAACTGGAGTTCTATACACTTCACTTATCTGGATGTCTGATTCTTTTACCATGCCTGGGAAGTTTTCTGTTATTATTTCTGCAATAGTCTTTTTATGTCATTTGTGTTGACACCTGCTGTTTCATTAACACCTATTAATCTAACATTGTTTCTCTTTGCTTCATCTTGCAGTTGTTGAATTGTTATTTCCTGGTTCCTTGTTGTTTTTAGGCGATCCCTCCTTTAATGTTCATTAGGGGTAATGCTGTCTTCAGTGTCTGAAAGTCTATCTTCAGCTTTGTTCAGATGGTTTTGCAAGCTTTCAATGGACTTTTTAATTTCCTGGATATCTGTTTGCATCTGTTTCATACCTTCTAGTTCTTTTCTGTATTGTTCACTGAAGGTTTCCATGAGTTGTTTATGCTTTTCTATTTTCTTGTCAATGTCATCTTTGTATATGCTGAACATTTCTTTCATTATTGTTGCCATTTCTTTTTTTACCTGAGACATTTTTTCTGATCTGATGTCTTCTACAGCCTGATATCATTGTTTCTTTACTTCAGTTGTTATCATTTCAGAAATTTCAGGTGTATGACTTCCAGGCTTTTCTATGTTGATGTCTCCTGGACTTGTTTTGGGTGGTGTGGAGGTCTAGGATTGCATTTTGCTCCTCTGTTTTGTCATTTTTGAGGAACCAGAGGCTCCCTGGAGTGCAGCCTCTCTCTTCTGATTGTATGAGTGTCAGGGCAAGAGTCTTAAAGTCCTCAGTGTTCAGTGTAGCTCCTGTGCTGGTGAGTAGTGGCAAGGTGGGGTCCCACATGCTCCCAACCTTTCTTGCAATCAGTTGGCTGCCAAGAGTGTGTGGGAGAGGCAGGGGAAGCTTGCCAGCATTCCTGAGACTGGGGTTCAGCCCGGCTTCCACAAGAGTAGGGGGGATGCAGGTTGTGTTCACTGAGGCTTCAGATATTGCCCAGGACAGAGCCTACTTCCCACACTGGAAGGGGAAGGGTGAGGGTGGACTACCCAAGGCTACTGATTGTGTCCATGTTTCAGCTGAGCTCCCAGAGGGGTGTGAGTTGTTCTGGCAGTGACCACCAAGGCCCCAGAAGTTTTCCAGGGATCCATGTGCCTTACACCCTAGTAGGGGAGGCACTAGAGTGGCTCACCATGGTTCCTAAAGGTGTCAGATGTTTGGCCCAGCCCAGGCCGAAAATCTGTCATGGTCACAGGTAGCCACTGAGGCCCCAGAGGGTGCCCAAGGTTTTGCCTGCCTTGCACTCTGGTCAGGGAGAGAAAGCTGTGACTCATTGGGCTTCCTGAAGATGTCTGGTCCTCAGCCCAGCCTGGGCTGACACCTATCCAGATGTTTTGATTTTTTTTATTTAAGAAGAATTTTGTTTATAAAATTGCAAAAGTAAAATCATTAGGATGAAAGTTAATATTTTCATTTTCTTGCAAAAGGGTAAATTGGGTTATTTTACTAAATAATATATTAGAGTCCTTCCTGTACCCTTCAACTTAAGCAAAATATTTCTCTTAATTTATACTACTAAGATTCAATCCTGACCATGTCTGTTTGATGTCCTGTAGCAAGAGGTGCAAGCTTTAGTATAATTCAAAACATAACAGTAATGGGTTAACTTCTCTGGAATTAAAATTATGTGTAAGAGCCATGCAAAAAATTTTAGCAGTAAAAGGATCCATTAGAGTAATGAGTGTGTCTTTTTTATTTTTCTATGGGGAAACTAAGATATTAATAAAGATAAACTACTGAAAGCCAAATATTTTGTTACCCATTGTAAGTTCCACATTTGAAAGTTATTTGACATGTAATTTATACAGTTCTTCCATCAATACAGTATTTCTCATCAATTATATTGTCTCATTCTTTAGTCCCTGATTGTTTGAAAAGTAGTAAAACCTATGAAGTCATGAATAATCAAGGACAGAGAATTTATTTTGCAGAAGAGAGAAATAATTGGTTCCTCCATCACCTTTGTGGGATTTCAAGGCCTTTTACCCTGAAAATTTATGACAATGTAGGTCAAATTATAATTACTATGCACAAAGCTCTAAGATGTACCTGCTGTTGGAGTAGCTGCTGCCTTCAAAAGGTCAGTACATTTTTTTGTATCATGTGAATTAAAATGCATTTTAGCACATTCAAAAAAGCCTCAACATTGAGCATTATGGTAAAATTTAAACACTGAATTTAATCACAAAAAATTCCCTAGAGTGAAAATATGAGAAAGAATTAAATTTTTGGACCAGGTAGCTACAAAGTGAGACTTACTAATGACACTATAAGGTTTGGGATTTTGTTGTTGTTTTCCTTTTCAGGCAATGAAGTTCACATCTTTAGACTTTGTTTTACCTTTTAATTCTGAACTATCTAAGAATTCACTCAAGGCTTCATTTTGACCTGTGTTCACTTGTGATCTAGATAGGGCCAGTTTTGAGTTTCTTCACTTCGGTTTTAGCGTTTTTATCTGATTGTCGTGTTTTCTATTCTTTCATGAGATAGTCAGTTAAGTGTAACTATATGAGAGGACACAAGAGAAGTTCAGGGGAAAAACTTTTATGATACCCACAGCTCCTTGAGTTAAAAACCACCACAAGCCATGAGGGGACACAGGGGAAGCACAAAAAGAACAAGCAGAATGAGAGCAGAGAAAGACTGCTGAGCTCATCAGCAAGTGCTCTGCATTTCTTTACTGTATCTCTAATCTATCAGCAGTTGTGTATACCTACACATGTACATATCTATCTATCCACCTCTCTATCACCTATCTATCTATCCATCTATCTATCATCTATCTATTTCTCTATCATTTATCTAACATCTATCTATTTATCTATCTATCTATCATCTATTCAGCAGTGGAAGAGATTCTAGAATTAGGTAAACACATACATTAAGAATTCCTCTTTTCAAAAAATGTGCCTAGAAAATTTAACAGAAAACGAATCTGCTCAATGCTTATGCTTTACATCTCCTGGTATTTAGGTCTTCTTTAATAATTCCGGCTAATGGTTAGTTTTATTCAGCACTTAGGTGTTCAGAATAATGTATGTGGGGTGTATTTAATGTTTATAGATATATTACAGTGTATTATAATATTATAGTGTTATTAATATCTTAAATTTTCCATTTTTTTACATATTTATAAAATTGGTCTATGTGTGTTGACCATTTATCATTTGACCTTACCAAAATCACTTATAAATTCAAGCACCTATTTTGTAGATTTTCAAAGTGGTTTTTACTTTTATGTAATATGAAATTATAGAGTTTACTATTTCTTTTGTTATTTATATGCTTTATATTTGTACAAGCAAATACATGAATGTACATGTTTCTTTACTGACCCTTTGTACTGGTTAGAAACTCTAATATAATAATGAATGAAAACAGGAGAGGGGCTGGGGATTTAGCTCAGCGGCAAAAGCGCCTGCCTGGCAAGCGCAAGGTCGTGAGTTCGGTTCCCGGTACTGGAGAAAAACCAAAAAAAAAAAAAAAAAAAAACAGGAGAGAAGATAACCTTAACTTTTGTCATGACTGTACAGGAAAGAACTCAGTCTTCACCATTAAGCCTGATGTTATCTGTCAGTTTTTGGAAGATATTTTTTATCGTCTATTGTTTACTTTCTAAATTTTAAGGTATATTTATAGCATTTTATTACTTCTCATTCAATTCCATTCTGTGGAGAACATTCCTTGTATTGTTTCAATATTTCTAAACTATTTCTCTATTTCATGATGTTTGCCTTTTATTTTGCTCTTTATTTACATGTTATGTTTCTCACATAAGAGAAATCACATGATATTTAAGCTTGTGTGTCTGATTTATTTTACTTAACATCATGCTGCATCCGTTTTCCTACAAATGACTCAAGTTTGTCCTTCACAGCTGTCCTTCACAGCAGAGCATTACTCTATTGTGTAGCAGTACTTTTTCTTTTTAACCAGGAATCGAACTCACGACCTTGTGCTTGCCAGGCAGGCCCTGTGGCACTGAGCTATATCCCTGGCCCCTCTATTGTGTATAAATGCTGCTCCTTTTTATCCATTCATCTGTTGATGGACATACATTGTTGGTGGGAATGTACACTAATATAACCATGATGGAAATCAGTTTAAAGATTCCTCCAAAAACCTAAAAATAGTAATTTCACTTCACCCAGCTATTCCTCTTCTAGGATTCTTCCTGAAAAAGTTAAAGACATCATTTTATAGTGATATATCCATACCCATATTTATAGCAGGACAATTCATAGTTGATCAACTTACCAAGAATTATTTATTGAGTGAACATATAGTTAACTTGGTGGAGTAGTCATAGGGTTCTGAAAAAATATATATGCTTCTATTGTTGTATGAACTATTTTATAATGTCAATTAGATCAAAATTGTTATTAGATCAATCACATTTCCTATCTTCTTAGTGATTTTCTGCAATACCCAAAATTAGCTGCTCCAATTTTAAAAATTTATAATGTTATACTTTCTTCAGTTCAACTACTAGAAATGGTTTAGCTAGGTGGTCTTCGTTCATAGCTTCGCAGGTGCTGCTGTTAGCATAATATTTGGCTGAAGACAGAAAATTGTTTCCAAGATAGATCACTAAATTACTAACGGAAGATGGTCTCATTTTTTCCTTGATGTTTGATTGTTAGGAAGCCCTGATTTCTTGGCATGATTTGATTTTCAGTAGCCTGACAATGATGTGGCTAGATGTAATTTCCTTTATATTCATTCTGTTCAGTTTGGTAAGCTTCTTGTAATGTGAATGTAGGAATTTTCACGAAATTTTGAAAATTTGAGCCATAGTTTCTTTAAGTATATTATTCTCCCCATTCTCTTCCCTCTTTCTGGATGTGAGGATAATCTGGCTGCGACGTCTGTTTCCCCATTGATCGCCAAGGTTGATTCGGCTGATCTGGCTGGCTGGACGGGTGTCCCCCTCCTCCCTCACTGCTCCATGTGCGTCCCTCCCGCAGCTGCAAGCTCGGTCGAAGAGGACGACCACTCCAATAAAGGAGGATCATTTCATGGTCGAGGGTATACGAGTAGCTATGCTCCCCTGCTAGAACCTCCAAACAAGTTCTCTTCCCTCTTTCTGTGTTTTTGTTACAGATATTAGGTGGTTTGATATTTTCTGATACTTTGCTATCACTCATTTTAAATTCTTTTTAAATTCAGTTATATAATACCTATCAATGTCTTCTGGACCCATCCATTAAATAATTTTATTTCAAATATATTTTTTGCTTCTAGAATTTACTATTTTAGATTTAATTCTGTATTGTGACTCCTATTTCTTCTCTTATAAGGAGTATATTTGACACTTAGTCACTTATCATTTTGCTTGTTGCTTTGAACTTCTACCAATCTAGCATTAAGGTTATCATCGATTGCATTTTCTCTTAAGTATTTTCCCATTTTATTCTTTGTATGAAGTAATTTTTATATTATCATGGATATTAAAAATGGTGCATTGTTAAAAGTAAAAATTTGGTTTTCTTTGAAGAATATTGACTTCTTTTGGCTTGCTTCTTTGGACAGTATATTGGCTAAACTCACATTCAAAATTCTTTCTCTCCAGCAGTGATACAACTGAAATCTCTGATCAGTAGCTGTAGCCTGAACTGGGATCCTTAGAGTCTGCCATGCACATATACATTGGGAAATTGAGCAGAAAATTGAGCAGAAACACACACACACACACACACACACACACACACACACACACACACACACACTGGGGCTGCCGAACTTTAGTTCTTTCTGGGTTTTCTCCTATATTTTCCACTGTTTTTCGTTTCCTCAATCTTCTGGTTTCTCAATCAGTAATACTAGAGGTTTCCATTCAAATCCTCACCACCCCCTTGCAGCTAGCATTGAGTGGAGCCAGCCCTCAAATAACAAGTCATAAAACAAGAGAGTCACTCAGATATAAAAGAAATGATATAACAGATATAAAAGAAATGATATAACAAACCCTCTTACAAGTGATTTATTGGTTTTGGTTACATTTTGAAGTTTCTTTTCCTCTTTTTTATTTTTTTAACATTTTCATAGTCTTTAAATCATGTCTCAGTGCTGGGTATTCTAGGCTGGTTTAATTCAGTTATGTCCTTTCAGTGGATAGAAGAGCTGCTTTTCTTTTATTTAGAGAAGTTTTATTGGTTTATCGATTTGGGTATTTGTCCAATTTCATTATGTTTTTCTTCTTGTGAGACACTTACGTATTTAGAGCTTTTTTTCCTATCTCCTGTATCACTGTGATATATTGCATGGTGTCTGCCCAGTATTCCTGATACATTTTCATTTCTGGACTAAATTTTCTTTTCTTTTTTCTAATATTTTCTGGACATTTTCTTCATTTTCATATTCTCTTCATTTTCTCTCTTTATCCCTTTATTTCTGAATTGTCCTAATTCTTATTTATACCCCTTTCTCATATCTTCTATCATTTCTTTTTTTTTTCTTTTTTTTTTTTTTTTTTTTTTTTGAGACAGGGTCTCGCTATGCAGTTCAGCCTGGTCTCAAATTCACAATGATCCTCCTGCCTCAGCCTCCCAAGTGCTGGGACTACAAGTGCACATCACCATACCTGGCTTCTTCTATCACTTCTAAAAGTTTATTTTGTTTTTTTTTTTTCTGAGATAGGATCTCATTATTCCATTCAGGCTGCTGTAATGGCAAAAATCGGGCTGTATTCCACAAGAGACCAACTCTATTGAGAACAGAGTTTACTAATTTTAATTTAGATCAGTCACCTCTCATTCCCTATTTGCAGGTCAGGAACATGGGCATGGGCCTGCCTTTGTCCCACCTTATATACATTTTTGGTTTCCATGGTAACAGACTGGAATGTTGTAGCCCTGACCACAGATTGTTTTCCTTGTGCCACGTAACTGGGTCAGGCTCAGGTCATGAGCCCAACCACAATGATATATACTTTTTCTACTCTATTTATGTGTCCCCCTTAGATAACTATATAATCTCTTTATGGTTGCAATGTTTATCTAGGGCCAGGGAAGGGATAAAACAACCCAGGCAGGGTCATAGATGGTTATCTGGGCCCGAGTATTCTTTGTGTTTAAAGAAACATTCCGGGGCTAAGTCAGGAGAACAAAGCTAACTCTTTACAACTCCTCTGGGATGTTTCTCAAGACACATTTTGAGGCTTGCACTAAGACTAGAATTATTCTATCTTAAAATGATATGCTAAGAGTCACTGCCCCCTACACTGGTCTTGAACTCACTTTGCAGTCCAGGCTAGCCTCGAACTCGAAACAATCCTCCTGCCTCAGCTTCCTGAGTGCTGGGATTACAGGTGTGTGCCACCATACCCGGCTCTAAAAGTTTATTTCAAAATGAATGTGAAATAAAGTTTTATTTTTTGATACACAGGGTCCAATGTAAATTTATCATCTGTAGGAACACTGTCTGCACACTATTCTCTTTTTATTATGACATCACTGGATATTACCATCAACATTGGCTCAACATTATTTATGTTATGCTGCTCATATATGTTCTTTAGTGGGTTTTTGCTTGCGTATTTTTTGTATTTTTACCATATTCCCATACATGGGTAGTTTTCTAGAGTCTTCTGTTTTTACTGTGAGATGTTGGAAGTACTTGAACTTATTTCTTTAACCCCAGATCTTCCTGTTTCAATCAGTTTTTACTCTAATCTCAGCAATGTCTTGGCAGTGTAAGGGATTTTGTCATGTAAGGCATTCTTAGATAGATCACTTAATGCATTCTTTTCTTTCTTTTTTTTTTTTTTTTTTTGGTAGTGGGAATGGAACTCAGGACTATCAAAAGTCAGGTTAAATAACCCTAAATTATTACAGGTTGATCGGGCCTGCAGTCTCCCAAGTGAGTGGACGGCAAAGGCTTAAATAAATGAGACAATGACAATGATTTTAGGGCTCCAGGAGGGACTAACTGTCTTATAACTTCACTGTTCTCAGAGTTAGCCAAAGACTGCTCTGGGCAGCCCGTATTTATTTGGTTTTCAAACAAAGAAGGAGAATATTCAAGAAAATGCAGGAATCTCGCAGGACCTTGGGAGAATTTTCCCAAGTAGTAAATTATGTCAATCAGGAGAACTACCTTATCTTTAGGTTGGTATTTATTGTAGGAGTGTGGAGACTGCAGTTGCAGTCTCCTCATAGTTAATTGGGGTTGGAGCCAGACGTCCTTAGCTGCCGCCTTATCTTGTCAGACAAGGTGCCTAAGCTTCAGACACCTTACAAGTAAATACCGAAAGCCAGTTGATTAATACTAAATCCTGCTCAGAGCCACTTTGTTCTGGTCCCCAACAAGGACCTCGCGCTTGCCAGGCAGGTGCTTGTGCTGCTGAGCTACATCCCCAGCCCTACTTAATGACTTTTTATGCCTGGACAGCTTCATCACAATTCAAACTTCCCACAGCAGGCCAACAAATTAGGAATGATTTCATCCCATCTCATTTCCAGCTGCACTTGTCTAGCTCCTTCTGTGAGTTTTTATACTGAGAGGGGTTTCATTTTTGTAACAAATACTTGTGGCATCTGGACTTCATGGATTTGGGAATATTACATGGTTTTGTTTTGGTCTTGCTTGTTTCAGTACATGTACATGTATTTTAAGGCTTGGTGCTATGTTTTTCCTGTCTAATTTATTTTTATTTCTTTATTTATTTTTTGGTGCCGGAAATTGAACTCAGGACCTTGCACTTGCCAGGCAGGCTCTTGTGCCACTGAGCTTTATCCCCAGCCCTCTAATTTTTTTTATAAAGAATTTTACACTTATTTTGTTCTGTTTTGCAGTCATATTGGTTCTGTTCCTTTTATGGGAATTTCGGGGAGATTCACACACTATATCATGATTGCTACCTTCATGATGTATAAGACTTCATTTATTTTTTGAATGAGTAAGACTTACCTTTTTTAAAAAAGGTTAAAGAAAGGACAAGGAAAGAAATAAGAAAGGGAATGGGGAGACGAGAAGAGAGGGGGAACAGAAGAGAAACAATGTCTCTGAAATGCCTATTTTTGTGGCTCACGCCTATGATCCCAGCACTCAGGAGGCTGAGGCAGGAGGATCATCGTGAGTTTAGACCAGCCTGGGCTACAAAATGAACTCAAGAGTTGGCCTAAATGGCATAGTGAGACCCTGTCTCAAAACAAAGAAACAAACAAACAAAAAAATCAAATGCTTGTTTTCGAGTTGCTTTCTAGGCCTCCTATACCCTCTTCTGCTGGTTTCTTATGTATCCTTTCACAGTTATTCTATCAATATTTGTGTAATATATGTATGTTTATGCTATGTGTGTGTTTTTAACACAATTAGTAACAGATTCTGCAGTCTTCACATACAATAAAACTTGAAGACTATCTGTATGAAGTTTATTCAAATGACTGCATGTAACCTGTTATACTTGACGTTCCAAATGTGCTCAACCAGTCTCTGTTGATTCTGATGAACTGGACTTTAAATAAGGAAAAATAATTCCAGTGGATTTATATTTTTGTTGCCAAAGAGTTATGAGAATACACAGTTGGTTAAATAAACAGGTTTTGTGGTCATGGAATTTAAGGCATGTCTCATGGGAGTGGTAATTTATAAGCTGATCCTCAAGCACACATGATGGAGGATATTATAACTATCTTTCTTTTGCAAATGTAAAGGAAATTTCACAGACTTGTCACTTGTCCACATTTCAAGCAACTGGTAAACAGCTGGGTCAGGTCTTATAACTGAGGGATTTTACACTAAGTCTTGGGTCTTTTCACTTCTTTGTTCATTCTCAAATATGAGGCACACCTTAATCACAGAAAGTTCTGTTCAAATATAGTGGAGTTAAAAGGTAACGTATAATTAAAAGTACTGTTACTTACAGATCTAACATGTATATTGGATCAATATGATTTTCAATCTTTTTTAGCTAGTAGTCAAAGCTCCTCATGGTGAAGAAATTGGATATGTTTGTCAATATTTTCACCCATTTCTTCCAAAGTTTAAAATAAAAAACAAGAATAATAAAGACATCATGAAAATCAGAGGGCCGTGTTTGGTTTCCAACTGTCTCTGGGATCTAAATTTTCGTGTGAGTAATTCACAATATTTTAAGATTATAATATTTAAAATAGTTAATGATTTTCTTATTTTCTAGAATATATAATTTATTCACATAATTAAAAGAAAAAATATCTTGTTACAATAACAATTTGTCTCTTTTCAAAAGCTGATTTACTAATTTAAAGTGCCCTGGTTTAATTAAGCTCTAGTAGTTTATGTGCCTTATCAGACACTATTTAAAAGCTGTCTTTTAAGTATATTCCTATCAAATAACAAATCTGATATTTAATATTTCAAATAATACTGTAAGAGAAAATTAAACTTTACTGCAATGGACAATGACAATGTGGTATGTAGATAACATGTTAATTTTAACATAGGATTTATTTATTTATTTTGGTACTGGGAATCAAAGCCATGACCTCAGGCTTGCCAGGCAAGCTCTTATGCCACCGAGCTACATCCCTGGCCTTAACATAGGATTTAAATTCTAGAAAACTCTGAAACTTCTATGATAACATTTTTATGTCTGCTAATTTACTTCCCAGACTTTGGTCAACATGTAGAAAATAGTTTTGGATATCGCCAGACATATTAAATGCAGTTAATAAAGTTAAGGAACTTGCTTTATTTATTTAATGCTTAAGATTCATAAGCAACAAAAGTAATTATACAGATTTGATCAGATACTAGATATGCAAAAGCAGTGAACTCTAAATTTCAACACGGACATTAAAAAAAAAATCTAGTCATGAATTGGAGCACAACCAAACTAAAACTTGATTTTCTTCCCTTCCGTACAAGTACATCAATTCGTATTACTGATACTGATTCTGGTTGACACCTGCATGTTCTGATTAAGTAAAATATAGATACTCAAACAAATGAATAGTTACAATATTTTTAGTTTGGAAAATAATGAAATGAGTACAAAGCATCCCACTATTTCAAATTAGTTAGCAAGGTGACAAAATTGCTTATGCACAAAACTTTAATAGCCAAAACCACCTTGGTTCATTTCTATTGATATTAAATTACAAAATGATTTTGTGCATTGTTGCACATCTTGTAGTATGACCTAACAAATACTACTTTATTCTAATATCCTCTAATATCCTGAAGTACATAAAACACTTTCTATTTCTTTTAACTTTGAAGCAAAACAGTGTTAAAGCTGGCATGCTTGGTAAGCTCCAAGAAGGAACAAGAAAGCCACTTTGTGTGTGAATGTGGATAAATGTGTTCATACTTTTGCTAAGAAGAGAAGAGAGATAAAGTAATAGCTAGTTACAGGGTCAGGGCTGGGGTGAGCCAAAGAAGGTATTCATCATAAGTGTAAAATACAAGGGGCTCTCTGGGGTTATAGCCTAGCGGCGCAGAGCCTGCCTAGCAAGTGCAAGGTCCTGAGTTCAATTCCTGGTACAATAAAATAAATAAATTATATATACATATGTATATGTATATATATACACATATATGGTGCCAAAAACTCAGTAATTAAATTATAGTTGAATGCAATGTTTTTTAAAATAAAAATTAATACCAAAAATCATGATGAGCAAGCATCAAATTTTTAGGTTAATTTTGCCTTGAATGATTCATCCGAAGGCCTTACACAAATGCTGTTTCAGGGCAAATGAGGCACAGGGAGGAAGGGGAGGTATTTTCCTAAACAATATATCCTTACCATGTTCTGATTTTAAAAGAAAAGAACCAAATGAGAGAGAAAATGCGGAGATTCAGCAGACATCGAGGGCCTCGTGAACCCAGTCTCTTATTTAGTATGAGATCTGAGACACATGTAATTAATTAGCATCTAATAGACATAGACATGGTCTGTTCATTACCTTATTTTTAAATTTTTATTTTATTTATTTATTTATTTATTGTCTTTTTGAGACAGGCTCTCACTATGCAGTTCAGGCTGGCCTTGAGCTCATTTTGTAGCCCAGGCTGACCTCGAACTCACAACGATCCTCCTGCCTCAGCCTCCCGAGTGCTGGGATAACCTGCCTGCACCACCATGCCCAAGTGTTCACTACCTATAAGACTATAGCACAGAATAGATGATCTAGACCTGCATACCCGCCACTTCCACTTTCTGCCGCTAAGCCACTCTCCCACTTTGCTCCAGTTATGATGCCTCCTCAGTCACAAAATATTTTCTTTTTCTGAGATGCTGTCTCTTGATTTCTCTCATCACTAATTTCTTCTGATCTTCCCGATGCCAGTTTAAATGACACTGTTACCAAGCTCCTTGCTGTACAACCACCCTCTCAATTTTTTTAGTCCATTTATTGCTTCTCTATTGTCCCGTCTCATATTGCCGTACTCTGCCCTATGCCACTTATTACAAGGCAAGTAGTAGAATTTCCCCAGCTGCACTGTTTTATATTTGCCTGAGTATCTCTTGTGCTGAAAGAATGAACATTATTTGGTATAAGAAGTGATGATCATGCAGATATGTAACTTTTAATTAAAAATTAAAACTGAAAAAACCCAAACAAACAAAAAAGAAAAAAAAGAAATTATGCTCTAGGGGGTCTAAATAGGGAAAGGTGGGGATGAGAAAAAGATGGGGTGTTCCGGACAATTCAAATCACTTTGGAAAAGTTGGATTAACTATGGAAAAGAGCTAAGAAGCCAGTGGTTTTCATGTTATAATTAAATTGATTCTCATATCAAAATCAGGTAAAATTTGCCCGTAGATGTTTTCAGGCTGTCATATGTCCATGTTGCATAATTAGTTGATCATAGGTATAATTTCTATGAATATAACTTATAAAGGTCTACTTTTATAAGTATAAGGTCTATTTCTGACATATAACTTATGCTGGTTGCTAAAATTATTATGAGTACCTTTTCTTTTCATTTCAGATGTTTTCAGCTAAGATTATAGGTATATTTTTCTTTTTAGTTATTATCTCTGGAGGAAGAAATTGTTATTGGAAATATTTCAAAGCCTTGCACCAGTTCTGTGGGGGGATCGCTAACAGATGCTGATAAATTTAGAGTCCAGTTTCCAATGGACCTTGATATTAAAAGTAAAGCACTGATCCTTGGAGCAAGTTTTCTCATTGTGAGTTGACTTTCATTCTACTTACCTGGGAATTATATTTTCTGATCTTCTCATTTGCTAAGAGTTTTTCTCAAATCATCTGGATTAACTGCAAACTGCTCCTGCTTGATGTCATCCTCGGTCCTGCTTGATGTCATCCTCGGTCCCCAATTACATCATATATTCGCCGTTCACATTGCAAAGAAAGCAAAATCCAGAATGCCCTAGAACCATGATCACTGAAGTTTAAGTCTTTTTCTTTTTTTTTTTTTTGACTATTTATTTTAAAAAGAAAAGAAGGAAAACATATTTACAAATGGACATCCATTTACAAAATATCACAAGGACAATACAAGCAATACTGAATTATAGACAAGGTGACAAGAAATTAACAATGGTTTTTGTATTACATATTGATATATTCAAAGTGGTTACTTAGGAAAACAAATATAGACATGCAAGATTGATCAAATACTTAATCATTTACTGTTCCTTTCAGTAAAGTGACAGAAGTCAGTAGTACAACTATGTTAGCTATCTTGTATATACATAATATAGATGTATATGTATATGTATATGTACAATATACATAAGTTTCCCCTTTTGAGCCTTTTTCTTAGTGAAAAAAGCCTCACAGTAACCCACTGAAAATAGGGAAAAGAAGGCTTATTCAATAAATAAATTACTGGTATTTGTTACAATTTAAAATTTTGCTTATCATTGTTTGGAGCATTTCATTTAGATTTTGTCTTAGTCCATGATGCTCTGTGAGAAAATACTTGAGACTAGGTGACATTTAAACAATGCAAATTTATTTCACATAGTTCTATTCTCATAGCTCTAGTTCTCATGGTTCTAGACCAGCTTGATTAGACTAGGCCGTGATTGTTCTGACATTTGGTAAAAGCCCAATACTTGCTTCAAAGATGGCATCTTGACGCCTGTGTTGTCTAGAAACAGTAAGCATGGCGCCCTCACATGGCCAGTTGGATAGAAAGGCAATAGGATTATCTCACTCCCTTAAGCACTTCATTCATTGAGAGAGCTCCTGTAGCCAAATCATTCTTTAAGGGTCCTACCCCTTAATGGCAATGCACTGACAATTATTTTTAACACAAATTATGGAGGGACACTAATATCCAAGCCATAACAGATATGTGGAAATTTTGAAAACAAACATATCACTGTTGATTATATTTGGATCCTAGAGGCAGAAGAACATCAGAAAGTGCTTTCTCCTCCAAGTGTTAGGGAATGTGAAGGCTTCAGATATAAGTTATTCATGGCCATGTAAGTTAGATGAGGGGATTCAGGGAAAGAATCAAGCAGGGGAAGATCCATCTGAGAACACATTTGTAGGCTGAGAGAGATAGGTGAAGGCATTTTTCATACTGCAGTGTAGAGACACAAGGAAATATGAAAGTCCAGGATTCCACACGAAGAAAAGAAACCAAATAAAATATGGACAACTGTTAAGACATTTCCAGAATGGAGAAAGTTAAATTCAGTTATTCAGAAAAAATATATCTCGAATAACTAAAAATTAACATCTATTTAAGTCATAAGGAAGCAGTAGAATAGCAAAGAAAAGTAAGAAATCAGAAAGAAAAGACGGATAGTTAACAAGCAGAAAATCAGGTAGACAGCTGACTGTCAGACAGAAACAATGGAAGCAAAAAGACATTAGAAGATCTTCAAACTATGGATTTGAAAAACCCAAGCCATTTAAAATCTAAAATCCCATTTTATTTCTATCTTTCAAGCATGATTGCTGAGTAAAGACATTTAAATTGAGAGAAAATTTTATAAAAATCATGTCCTTTCTAAAGTAGAATTTTTTGAATAAGGCATGTACATTGGAGAGATCCTCTAGAGTTGAATAAAATTTGGGAACAAACAAAATTCTAACTACCTTTATAAATGTAAACATATTTTAAAATATAAAAAATAAGTGTCTAATTCATGAAGTTAAAAGGAAGCAAAACTAAAATATTAGCCATCAAAGCATATAAGGAGGAGAGGGGATGTACAGTCAGAGAGATTAGAATTAAAATATTTAAGTCACTGAATGGCTCAGAATGTGTAGACTACATGTGCATGTTAAAATTTCATGGTAAATCACTAAAATACAAAAAAACCTATGTATTTCCAAATACAGAAAATATGGGAACAAAATATAAGTACAAAAGTCATTTGGGAAAAAACAAGGAGAAAAAATAAGGAAATCAGGAAAAAACAAAAATACATAATTTTAAAAAATTTACCTATCCATCAATATCCAGATGTCCACTAAATATATTCTACACAAAGCTTTATAGTAATTAGCAGCAATATAAATGAACAAGCTCACCAGGTAAAAGATAGAAACCACACTTTATAAGAAGCAACTTATATGCCCATCAACAGATGAATAAAGAAAAAATGATATTTATACACAATGGAGTATTATTGTGCCATAAAGAAGGATAACTTGATGCACCTGGATACTATAACATTAAGTGAAATAAACCAAGTAAAATACAAGTTTAAATATTGCATTGTTTCTCTTATATGAGAAACACAAAAGTAAATAACAAATGAAAAGATAGATGATAGATAATAGGAAGCAGGGGGATCTTTTTCAAATGGGAAGCGGGACAGGGATGGAAAGAGCTAGGAGGGATGGGGAAGAAGGGAACAAGAAAAAGAATGAAGAGGTCTCATGTACACATGCATATCCCCACGATAAAAATCAAGCACTGCAAACGTGCACTAATAGACAAAGAAAAATAAATAAAATCTTAGTTCATTCCAATGTAAAATAATGCTGATGTGATTTTAAAAAATAAAACAGGGATAGTTGTAGTCAGCTTTTAAGGGACCTTGGATCTTTATAAGGGACAAACCTAAAATAATGTTTAAAATTTGAAAGAAAAGCCCAGCATGGTGGTGCACGCCTGTCATCCCATCACTCGGGAGGCTGAGGCAGGAGGATCTTTGCGAGTTCAAGACCAGCCTGGGCTACAAAGTTAGCTCAAGGCCAGCCTGAACGGCATAGTGAGACCCTGTCTCAAAAAGACAGAAAAAAAATTTTTGAAAGAAAAAAGTATGGATAAAATATTAAGAGTCAAGAAACATAAGGGAGAAAAGACCAGAATAAAAAAATTAGACTTTAAGACAGGAAAACTTTAAGACAAAGACAAAGTGACTACATGGTGATAAAATCTTTACTCAAATAGGACACAGTAATAATCTTAGACTTCATTGTTAGTATCTTAACTTAGATTTTAGACTTAGATTTAGACTAATCTTAGACTTTATTATTAGTATACACCTTGTAACCCAACCTCAAAACAGAGATGTGTTAAAAAGTTAGAGATTAACGAGCCATCTTCAGTGAGAAATTTATTAACACTTCTAAATTTTTAGCAGCTATGAGAACACAGTATTAGTTAAGTTGCTTAAAATTTTTTTTTTTTTTTTTTTTTTTTTGAGACAGGGTCTCACTATGCAGTTCAGGCTGGCCTTGAACTTACTTTTGGTTTTTCTCTGGTACCGGGAACCGAACTCACGACCTTGCGCTTGCCAGGCAGGTGCTTTGCCGCTGAGCTAAATCCCCAGCCCCAAGTTGCTTAAAATTTGAACAAAATTAATAAGACTGATTTAATGAGCAGTTACAGAACTTCACACCAAGTGATTAATGTGCAAAGTGATCAACAAGGATTATTCTCAAACAGTCCTTTGAGAACAAAAATTTATTTCAGAGAAGACCAAGAAGTACCTCTCAACAAATTTCAGGGAATTAGCATCATTCAGACCTTGGTTGCCTGAGAAAATGAGACTAGAAGTTACTAAAGAGAAATATGTTTAAATTTTAAATATCTTTATTTAATGTAAAGAAGTATCAATAATTCAAAAATCAAAGAGATATAATGAAAATGTAAATTATATCAAATATATAAAAATAATATTCTTACATACAAAAGTCTTGGTACACACTCAAAGATTTAAGGAAAATGGATAGTAGTAAATATTTATTGAATAAAAAGGGAAAATTAAAAAGCTAATATTAATTAAGACTGAAAATTTAATAAAAGGACAAAATAAACCCCAAGGGCTGGGGATTTAGCTCAGCAGCACAGCGCCTGCCTGGCAAGTGCAAGATCATAAGTTCAATTCCTGGTAATGGAAAAAAAAAAAAAAAAAAAACCAAAAAACCAAAGCAGCATAATGGAATAATAAGTCACTGGGGAAACAAAGATGAAAGAACAAACACCCACAGTTGGTCTCTGGATTGGAAGGTCTTTCAAAGCCAGGAAACCACACAATAACAGACCACTAAATCCAATATACCTCCAAACAAGTCATAATATTCATTATTATTGTCATAATGAATATTCATCATAATATTCACTATTAATACCCATTAAATCCAATATGCCTCAAAATGTCATAGTATTCATTATTCATTTTATCAGTATATTATTATTCATGATATTCATTGTTTGCTTTGCATTAAAAGCACATAATAAAGTAAGGAAAATATATGCCACAAAATATGACCAATACATACTATTCTCATGTTAATAAAAATTGCATTTTTTTTGTCTTCTTTTGAGACAAGGTCTCGCTATGCAGTTCAGGCTGGACTTGAGCTCACTGTGTATCCCAGGCTAGCCTCAAACTTGCAATGATCCTTCTGCCTCAGCCTCCCGAGTGCTGGGATTATAGGCATGTGCCACAACACCCAGTTTAAAAATTGCATTTAAATGATAAGAAAAATATCAAGTTCCCAGTAGAAATGGGCAAAGAATATAAGTAAAAAATTCAGGGGTTGGGTATATCGCTCAGTGGTGCAAGCTCCTGACTAGCAAGCCCAAGGTCATGAGTTGGATTCCCAGTACCGAAAAAAAAAAAAAAAGAAAGAAAGAATCCTCTTACCTCAGCCTCCCCAGTGCTGGGATTGTAGTTCTGTTTCCATCTCTATAAAGTGGTAATAAGACACTTCCTCTTTCAGTTGTGAAGTGTTTTTTTGTTTGTTAGTTTGTTTTTGCCGTTTTGAGACAGGGTCTCAATATGCA